ATTGCCTGCTGGTAGAACAACCAAATGGAGATTGGGCACAAACGATCCTGCGTCAATTTTTCTTCAGCAATTATCAATATTTACTTTATCAGCAATTGCAGCAATTCGATGATGCACATTTGTCCGCCATCGCTGAAAAATCATTGAAAGAAGTTACTTATCATCAAAGGTGGAGTAGTGAATGGGTGATCAGGCTGGGCGACGGTACCAATGAAAGTCACCAGCGAATGTTGGGCGCACTGGAAAATATTTGGGAATATACAGGAGAGTTATTTGTCGCCGCGGACTATGAAAAGGAGATCGGTATCGACCCCGCTGTATTGAAGGAAAAATGGATGGCAAAAGTGCAGGATATTTTCCGTGAATCAACGATTCCGGTTCCTGCTCCTGTTTATATGCAGGAGGGTGGTAAACAAGGCAGGCATTCGGAACATCTGGGTTATATACTGACTGAACTACAATACCTCCAACGAGCCTATCCCGGCAGTGAATGGTAAGCTATGGCAACGGCAACAATCGATAAGAAAATGCTTTTTACTTATCTGGATGAAATAAAAGATCCGGAAGTGCCTGCGCTGAGTATTATTGACCTGGGCATTGTAAGAGATATCATCATGCATCGCGACGAAGTTGAAGTGGTCATCACGCCAACTTATACGGGTTGCCCGGCCATGGATATGATCGCGATGAATATACGCTTTATGCTTACAACGCTTGGTTTTAAAAAACATAAAGTAACAACCATTTTATCGCCGGCGTGGACTACGGATTGGATGACGGAAGAAGGTAAACGGAAGTTAAAAGATTTTGGGATTGCTCCCCCGAATCCCGTTCAGCAGGTATGCACACCCGGACTATTCGCGGCGGATGAAGCTATACAATGCCCGCGATGCAATTCCTATCACACCCACCGCGTAAGTGAATTCGGAAGCACTGCATGTAAGGCGCTTTATCAATGTGATGATTGCCTCGAACCTTTTGATTATTTTAAATGTCACTAACCGCCCGCGTTCCTATCTTCATCATCAACAACAAATATAAATGGCACCCATACATTTTGAGATTATCGATCATATCGGGCTGATCACGCTCAATCGCCCGGAAAAACTAAACGCGTTCAACCGTGAAATGTCGTTGCTCCTGCAACAAAAGCTGGATGAATGTGCGGCAAAAGAAGTGCGTTGTGTTTTGATTACAGGTGCGGGTAAAGGATTTAGTGCGGGACAGGATCTGGCGGAGGTGACCCAACCAGGCGCTGCAGGCTTCAATGTCATATTATCTGAGTATTACAACCCCATCGTCACCCGTATCAGGAAACTGGAAAAACCCGTGGTTGCAGCCGTCAACGGTGTCGCCGCCGGCGCTGGCGCTAATATCGCGCTCTGTTGCGATATCGTTGTTGCAGCAGAGTCAGCTTCATTCATCCAGGCATTTTCCCGTATCGGTTTGATC